GGAAGTTGCCAAGAGCTGATAAATACCGGGTGCATGTTTTTGACGCCTCGGACTGGCACCCTGAGAAGCACGACACACATGCCCAGTGGAAAGAGAGCGTCGCTGGTCCTGTTCTGGATAGGGCATCAGAAGCACTTAGAGTTTTCTGTAACCTTTGAGTGATGCTCAGTTGTTCTGTCTCAGGGATGACCATGAAACCTCAGAGACAGGCAGAAGGCTCCCAGCCTCTGATGGGCGCTCCAGGTTGGTGGATGCTAGATCCAGCAGGTGGAAGTAGGGAGCAAGAATGAGTCCTCCCACTGGCACTGAACATTTGATGTTTGTTCTTCTCAAGCTACTGTGCATATTTCAAAGGGCTTTGTGTGTGTGTGTGTGACCTTAACAGTGCCTGAAAGTCACAAACCCACTTTCTGACCCTCCCCCTGACTTCCTGCCTGGAGTTATTCACATGTCAGATATGCCTGTATTAGGTTCTAGGTTATTTGGAGTTTTAGTGCAAAGAGCTTGAAAACCTCCACCTGCTCTGGCCTTCTCTTTTACAGATGGTGTCAGTGAGGTTCAGAGAGTGTGTGGAACTTCTCTGAGTCTAAGTGGATTGGACACAGTACTGCCTGCTTCTGAATCCAGCAAGGACAGAGAATAGCAGGTACCTGGAAGGAATATGAGGCTGGATGTCTCAATAGGAATGAAAAGACTCTCTTCTCTGCCCAGGTACAGGCTCCCAAGTCAGCAGAACCTGGTCCAAATGGGGACATGGAACTGATGGATACTTGGTCCAGAGTCATGTTTCCCCAGTTGGGCCCCTTATCATGCTGTGAATCCCTTTTCTTTGAGTGAATAACTACCCCTTCAGACTATATACGATAAAAAAATTTTTAATGCCAGTGCGCTCCAGGTGTCAGAAGACAAACGTCCAGGCATCAGTCGGAATCAGAGAAATTTACATTTATAAGAGTTTGATCAGATCAGCAAGTTCCAAAGTTAGGTAGAATGAACATTGGTCTAGGAGAGAGGGAATCAGGTCTTGGTGGCCCTGATTTGCTGAGTGAAATTGGTAAAAGCATTTCTTCCTAAATTTCTCCTTGTACAATTGATATAAAACAAAAAGGGAAAGTACATCTACCCACAGACTTTTCCTTCTTATTTAATTTTATTTATTTATTTATTTTTGGCTGCGATGAGTCTTCACTGCTGTGCATAGGCTTTTCTCCAGTTGCAGTGAAAGGGGGCTACTCTCTAGTTGCAGTGTGCAGGCTTCTCTGTGGTGGCTTTGCTTCCTGCAGAGCATGGGCTTCAGAGCACACAGGCTCGGTAGCTGCAGCCTGTGGGCCTATTTGCCACACTGTATGTGGGTTCCTAGATCTCAGCCCATGGATCAAACCCATGTCCCTTGCATTAGCAGGTGGACCCAACTGAACCACCAAATGAGTCCCCTCTATAGACATTTTATTGTCCCTAACCCCTTGCTTCATCTTTTGAGCTATTTAAAACCCTAAAAATGATTCTTGAGAGTTCCTTGGACAGCACAAGATCAAGCCAGTCAATCCTAAAGTCAATGCTGAAGTTTAAGCTCCAATACTTTGGCCACCTGATGCGAAGAACTGACTCATTGGAAAAGACCCTGATGCTGGGAAAGACTGAAGGCAGGAGGAGAAGGGGGCAACAGAGGATGAGATGGTTGGATGGCATCACTGACTCGATGGACATGAGCTTGAGCAAACTCTGGGAAATGGTTAATGAGGAGGAAGCCTGTCTTGTTGCAGTCCATGGGGTCACAAAGATCGGTCATGACTGAGCAACTGAATGACTGAAGAATAATAACAATCACCACTTCCTTGGATTGTTTTGTTAATCTGGTGCCAAAATCACCAAGGGAGACTGTGCAGGGGCAAAACTATTGCAGCCTTGAAAGTTGCTATGAAAGTAGAGCTTTAATGTTCTCACCATAACAACAACAACAATAAAATAGCCATTACTCGAGGAGAAGGATTTATTAACTATTCTTATTGTGGCAAATATTTTGCAGTGTATACATATATCAAATCACCAGATTATACACCTTAAACTTATACAATGTTTATGTCAATTTTATCTCAATAAAACTTAAGAAAGAGAGAAAATCAAAGGGGTAAATATTTCTGTCTTCACTATACAGAATCTTCACATTCTGGAACATGTTAATTATTTATGCAAGACTTTTTTATTTGCTACGTGAATACTTGTTTACATTTCTTTTTTAAAGTTCTCCCTTCTGTCATTAAGTTAGTTTGTTGAGTGGTTTAATTGTGTTGATATTAGTATTGGGAATTTCTCCCATTTTCTGATTATTGCTAGTTTATAATAAAAATAGAATTCATGGGACTTCCCTGGGGGTCTAGTTAGGACTTGGTGCTTTCACTGCCGTGGGCTGGGCCTGGGTTCAATCCTTGATTGGGGAACTGAGATCCTGTAAGCTATGTGGTGCAGCCAAAAACTTAAAAACAAAATAGGATTTAGTTGCGCCCCTATGTCCATATAGCCCTACTCAAATAGTCATTACATGGAAACAACCGAAATGTCCATCAATAGATGAACAAAAAAAAAAAAAACCCAAACAAATGGATGGATAAATAAGGTGTGATATACACAAAATGGAGTGCTATTCAGTCATAAAAAAGAATGAAATAATGCCATTTGTAGCAACTTGGGTGAACCTCGAGATTATCACACTAAATGAAATAAATCAGAAGGAGAAAGACAAATACTATATGATATCACTTACACGTGGAATCTAACATATGACAAAAAGGACCTTATCTATGAAACAGAAACAGACTCACAGACATAGAGAACAGACTTACGGTTACAAGGGGGTGGGGGCGGGGAGGGATGGATTGGGAATCTGGGATTAGTAGGTGCAAACTATAATACATAGAATGAATAAACAACAGGGCCCTCCTGTATAGCACAGGGCACTATATGCAATATCCTGTGATAAACCATAATGGAAAAGCGAATGAAAGAATGTGTATGGATATGTATAACTGAATGTCTTTGCTGTACAAAAGAAATGAACACAACATCGTAAATCAGTTATACTTCAATAAAAAAATTTGAAAAAATTGGACTTATCGTCACTTACTAGCTCTGTGTCTTTGGGTGACTAATGATGTTTTCATGACTTCAATCTTTTCTTTTTTGGCTGTGCTATGTGACTTGCAGGATCTCAGTTCCTTATCGATTATTCCCTGCCCTGGAAGTGCAGATTCTGACCCATTGGATTGCCAGGGAAGTCCCATGGTTTCAATCTTTTAACAACATTAAAGAGGTGTATATGACCCATCTGAGGGAGTTCTAATGAGAAATAAGACAATACTTACAACATGTTTAGTACAGGATCTGGAAGAGACAAAACACTAAAACAGAAACCGTTCTCACCACCAGTGGTGTATTATGTTTCTCAGGCCAGAAGTTTAGGCCCTGCTCTTGTCTGTGCTCCAAGATGCGTGTTCCAGTCCATCCCCTGGAGAATCAGAGGGGAACCCTGGCTCCTGGGGGGTGGTGTCTAAGGGACACTGGGCTTTCTGATCTCTCACCCCCAACAAAGCCTCTGCGCTCCACCTCCTCTCTAGCAGAGCCCAACACACACACACAAAGAAGACATGTTTCAGCCCAGAATATCAGGGCTGAACTGACATTCATTACTAGACTTCCAGAATATTTTCACCCAACTCCCCTCAAACTGAATAGACAAAACTGAGGCTCAGAAAGAGAAAGAGATTTATCTGCAGTCATCTAGCAAGTTGGGAGGAGCCTAGAGCTAGAACTCAGGTCTCCTGACTCCCAAGTGGGGTGCCCACTGAACCCCAGTGCCCCTCCCACTTCTTCCTGGAGAACTCCATTGCACAAGGGCAGTGGGGCAGATGAGCCAACAGTAGAGCCATGACGTCATCCAAGGTTACCCAACATACGCCTTCCTGCTGTCTTCACTTCTCCAGTCTACTCTACCCCAACTTGTATGTCCCCAGAGAATGTTATTCAGCAATGACATGGAAGGATCGATGTGTCTTGCCTCCTCATTCACATCTTGAAATAGAAAGCTGGGAGAGGATATTGCTTCACCCAAAGGAATTATGTGTTATTGGAGGTCATCTCAGGTGTGAACAGGTGAAATGCTTCGAGAGCAGGGATTTCCTGGCATCTGTCTTTCTGTCTTCTTGGAGGATACAGATTCATGGGAAACGTTAGAGAAAGGGAAGGAGGGAGCCAGAGGTTGATCCAGGAGGGCTGGCTGGTCACACTGGCAGGGTTGATCACAGCCAGGTCAGAAGTGGAGGTCAGTGGGAAGGTTTGGGGGTTTCTTTCCTTGGTCCGAGGCTAGAGGACAAATGTCTAGGTTTCCATCACCTGGTGAAATGGAGGCTGCAGTTCTTGGGTTGATTTTTGGATTTCTACAGTGAATCCTAGGAATAGGCCTCTTATTCCTGCCCCTGCTCTCCTTCACACCCCAAGAACATCTGCCATGGGTCCCGCTCCACTCTCCACCGGGGACAGGAGGTCTCAAACCCACACCCAGAGCTCTCAGGAGCCCAGAAGTCACAGGAGCCAGAAACAAATGGAATTGAAAGCAGTCTTTTATTGGAAAGTTCATGAGGGAGGCAGTCCGTGCTCAAGCTTGGGCCTCCTGGATGAGAGGAAGAAGGGGCAGTGTGGGAGAGGGTCGTGTGACAGGCACCGGGGGCTACATCCCTGGGGATGTCACAGGTGCAGCAAGAAGACTCTACCTAGTAGAAGAAAAGAGAGTCGGAAATGTGAGTCAGCAGGTGAAAGACTCAGAGGCAGTGGGAGGCAGGACCAAGTCTACATGTCATCCTTCTCAGGACCCCAGTTACAGCCTCTGAGACCTCTCAGTCTCTCCATCACCTCCCCATGTCCTTTCCCCCACTAGCCTAGGATCACCCTCCACCAGTCAGCCTCTCTGTGCCCTCACGGGTCACCCTTTCCTCCACCCAGTTCTCACCTCACCGGGGATCCATACAGGCCTTCCCACAAGAGCCTTCACAGCACTTCTTGGCTCCTGGGCACTGAGCATCTCTCAGACACTTGTTAGGGGGATTCATCATGGCGCACCGGATCAGGACCCTGGGGCAGGAGCCACGCTTAGTGAGGAATGGACCTCCTACTCGGTCTTGACCTTTGACTGGATCTTGACCTTTGACTGGATCTTGACCTTTGACTGGTTCTTGTCCTTTGACTGGATCTTGTCCTTTGACTGGATCTTGCCCTTTGACTGGATCTTGCCCTTTGACTGGTTCTTGTCCTTTGACTGGATCTTGTCCTTTGACTGGATCTTGCCCTTTGACTGGTTCTTGTCCTTTGACTGGATCTTGACCTTTGACTGGATCTTGTCCTTTGACTGGATCTTGCCCTTTGACTGGATCTTGACCTTTGACTGGATCTTGCCCTTTGACTGGTTCTTGTCCTTTGACTGGATCTTGACCTTTGACCGGTTCTTGTCCTTTGACCAGATCTTGACCTTTCACTGGACCTTGACCTTTCACTGGACCCTGACCTTTCACTGGATCTGGTCTTTTGACAGGATATTGACCATTGATTGGGCCCTTTCCGTTGACTACAACATTTCCTTTCTTAGTGTCTTGACCTTTTGGGCGACCTGTTGAAAGAAATATCCGTACTATTACTAACATTTAGACCAGTGTGTCTGCTTCAAATATCTAGTCTTTCCTCCAGGTCCAGCCACTGCTCACTGTGGTGTCCCTTAAGCTGAGGGACACTGAGACAGAGGAGGCTCACTAGGGCTCGCTGGGGTCTGCACTCTCAGATGGCTGGTCCCTGGGCTTTGGGGAAAAGGTCCATAGGACCAGGTTTCCTATGGGTGTCCATTTCTTCCCCTCACCCTCCATTCTGGGTCCTGGGGCCCTCATGAGGATATGCCAGGGAGGAGTGCCTTTCAGGAGATGAGGACACATTGTCATCTTTGAGGACACTTGGTGGAAGGGCAAGGAGCTATGAGACATATGCCAGGAGACCTGAGCTCCAGCCTGGCTCTGGAGATTGCCCTGACAACTCCTCACCTCACTCTGGATCTCAGTGTCCTGCTTTGGAAAACAAAAGTCTTCAGACTCCATGATTTCTGAGGCCCTGTTAGTTCTTAACCTCCCCTTACAGGACTGATGACTCAGGTACTTTGATGGAGCAAAATGCAAGGAAGAGACGCCACCCTGGGCCCAGATTCCTGGGGCTCCTCAACTTCATTTCATGTTCTGTCCAAGTATCAGTGCTTGAGGCCAAGGTCATGTTACAACACTCCTTCCATAAACAGCCCTGATTTCTCAGTCCTGGGGCAGAATGTACATGGAGTCTAGTGGGCAACTTCCTACTTCTCTGGATACACTCAAAACTTTAGCCTGCTATCCAGGCTGAAGAGTGGGCTCCAGCTCTGCATGCTTCCCCTTGTCAAGACCCAGGCTGCCCCTAACAACCTCTCCTCAACCCAAGCCGGCCTCACCCAGGCCACTTGTCCACTCACCTCTTACAATAGCTGCCTCTGCCACCAGCGTCCCAAGGACGAGAAGGACCACAACCTGGACCAAGAAGCTTCTGGTCTTCATGTTGTCAGGAAGGTGTATGACTGAGAGCTGAAGCTAAGCCTAGTTTTATGCGGCTTCAGATTGGTCAGGTGCCAAGGGTGGATCTATGGTTTCACAAGGGATAGAGTTACTTTTTCTTAGTTCTACCAGGAAATATCCACCCCCATCCTGGGAGGGACCTTGGGCCTTTCCCCAGGGATTATCCACGGGGAGATATGGTGGCTGTTACATCATTTCTAATAGCCCCAAGAGCTGTCTCACATTCTCACAAAGAAGTCGGGCTGGCTGGTCTGTAGGCATCATCATGACCAAATTCTTTATACTTAAAGAGTATGAAGCCTAAAGGAGAGAGAGGAATCACCCACAGTCATTCAACAAGTCAGTGGTAGGTCCAGTGTACTGTTTTCATAGCCAAGGTGTTCCCCCATTACTCCCCGGCTCCTGCAAGCCCCACCCAGACCTACCCTAACAATTTACCCTTCCCAGAATCATGCTAGGCTTTTCTTTCATTCTCCCTCTGATCCCAAGAAAAACTCCCAAAGGCAAATTTGCCTTGAACGTTTAATGACTAATCATTATACTTTTCCATTTCACAGGCAGTCTCTGAAACGCACCAAGAAACTAATAGGGAAGGTGGCATTCGACATCTGGAGTGGCATGATGCTCTTGAAATCACAGTAAGAAGAGAGGGAACACCCAGAAAGGGAAGAAAATAGAAGTCATCTATAAGGTGGAATCTACAGTGCATGCATCCAACATGGCTTCTTCCTTTCTAAAACAGGCACCCTGTTTCTTCTGAAGGACTCCTGTTTCTTTGTACCATCAACTTAGGGATCTAATGGGGATGTTGATCATGAAAGCTTGACACCCAGTCACAGATCAGGGTGTGTGTGTGTGTGTGTGTGTGTGTGTGCTCAGTTGACATCCTTTATTTAAGTGGAGACTAAGGGGAAGTCCCTCATTTTGGTAAAGGTAAGAGAGATGAGCCTGGGAACTCCTGAAGCTATGGTTCCAGTCTGGGAGGGAGGCAACTGTTTGAGAAAAATAAACTTAATTCAATTAGAAAAGCAGAGAAATGATGGTAAGAGAGGTTTTGGAAGGGACTAAGCTTTGGAAGCCAGCCCTTCATTCCCCTCTATCTTGAGAGCAGTTCTTCCCATACCTTTGCCGTAGTTCAGTTATGGCCCAATAAACTGCCTAAGCTAGTCTGAGTTCACATTTTGTCACTGCTGTCATAGTTCAGAGTAATAAAAATGAATACACAGAAGTTAGATATTGTCAGGAACAGAAATGAAGTGTGGAAATAATAGTTGAGTTCTGGGTGAGACAGGAATGAAAGCAAACTAAGTATTTTATAGTCAAACAGTTGTTTAAATCTCCATCCTTTGTCTCTTTGAACTCAGACCTCATCATGCCCACCAATGCTGCTAAAACATTAAGAAGCTATAATAAATGCAAGACATTGGAGTTGGCAGGCTACTTAAAAAAAAAAAACCCTCATCACAAAATAAATTATACAAACAAAAAAAAGTGTGTAGAACTTATATTCTTTAAAGAATTAAAGCATTAAAATGGCAGCCTGCACTCATTTACCAAGAACAAAAAGGAGACTATTTCCTGTATATAGGCCCTATCAACATTTAATCCTCACCAATTTCTTCCCTCTCCATCTTCCACAGAGGTAACCACTATCTTGGATTTTCTAATTTTCTGTTAACTCAAGCATCTTGCCCATTTCTAGCTGGGTTGTCTACCTTTTTCTCATTGTTTGTAGAGAGAAGAAACTCTCACTCATTACTAGTGAGAGTCAATATTCATGCAACCTATTTGAAAATAAATTTGGCATCAGCTAGTAAAATTAACCAGTCCATCCAAAAGGAGATCAGTCCTGGGTGTTCATTGGAAGGACTGATGCTGAAGCTAAAACTCCAATACTTTGGCCACCTGATGCAAAGAGTTGACTCATTGGAAAAGACCCTGATGCTGGGAGGGATTGGGGGCAGGAGGAGAAGGGGACGGCAGAGGGTGAGATGGCTGGATGGCATCACCGACTCGATGGGCATGAGTTTGAGTAAACTCCGGGAGTTGGTGATGGACAGAGAGGCCTGGCGTGCTGCGATTCATGGGGTCGCAAAAAGTTGGACACGACTGAGCAACTGAACTGAACTGAGGAAAATTAAACATGAGTAAGATCTTTTAGATTTTTGCCAATCTGATGAGTAAGAAGTGATACACTGCTGAAGTTTTTAGTTAGCATTTCTCTATCAATTATTTCAAGCATTTTTCATATCTTAAAATCCACTTATATTTCTTTATCTGAAAACTTCATTTCTTTTGCTCATTTTCCTATATAGTTATTAGCTTTTTTCTTCTCAACTTCTAAGCACTCCTTACATATTATAAAGGTCTTTATCTGTGATAAGGTTTGCAAGTAAAAATTTTAACTCATTCTTGGTGGCGGTGGTGGTGGAGTCGCTCAATCATGTGCGACTCTTTGCGACCCCATGGACTGTAGCCCACCAGGTTCTTCCGTCCATGGGATTTTCCAGGCAAGAGTACTGGGGTGGGCTGCCATTTCCTCCTCCAGGGGATCTTCCCGACCCAGGGATTGAACCTGGGTCTCCCATATTGTAGACAAACGCTTTACCATCTGAGCCACCAGGAAGTCAGGGTGGCATTCTTTTCTCCTCTTATCTAGAGATTACCTACTGTTGTTTGGTTATTTCTGCTCTGGATTTCTGCACTTCTGCTTCATGATATCCTTAGATTGGTGAAACTGGTTCATTAATCTTTTTTCAACTTGTGTGCCAAAAAAAATCTTAATGGTACAAATGAATCATAGAAAAAAATAACTTTCTAAACTGAAACTAACACAAGAAAAAGTAGAAAATCTGAATAATACTATAACAATTACAACGATGGAAACAACAGCCAACAATATTTGACCAAATTAAAGCATCAGGATTAGACCTCTTCATAAGACCTCTTCATTAGACCTCTTACAAGGCAATCAAGGAACAACTAATTCTAATATGACCTAAATAAAAATAAGAAACAATTCCCAGTTTCTTATGTTTTATGAAGTAAACATAATCTTGATACCAGAGCTTAATAAGAACTTATACCAATTATATGTCAATAAAGTTGTTTAAAAATAAAATTATCAACAAGGATTCTATGAAAAAGGAAGATTTGCTAAAAAGTGAAATTTTAGCAAGTTTCACTCATAGAACACAGATTCATGAATATAAAAATCAACAATGTTCATAAAATTCCAAACAAATCTACATATAATTGTTAGAATCAATGAGAGTTTATCATGACAGATGCATAGAAAGGAAATGTACAAAAATCAATGGTACCATATACATTAACAACACAAATCAGCAAATGATATTTTAATAATTTTTATAATAATATAAAATGTGAAAAGCTTATAAATATATGTAATGAATTTTGTACAGAATCACTACAGAGAAAATTATAAAACTTTAGTGAGAGACATTTTCTAACACTCCCAAATCAGGTATGTATACCATGTTCATGGATTGGAAGACTCAATATGATAAGCATGACAATTCTCTTCAAATTGATTTTTAGTCTAAATGCACTCAAACCCCCAGAAAAATTTTTACAAAAGTAAACCAAGAGAAACTTGGCAATGCAATTCTGAAATGCATACAAAAAATGCAAAAGACAAGATAGCCAAAATACTCTTGAAGAATAATTTAATAAGACTTGATGTAGGAGATATCAAGCTTTATTATAAAGCTGTAATAATTATGATAAAGTGATATTAAAACAATCATACAGATATGCAAATGAAACAGAATAGAGAGTCCTCAAACAGATGACTGCACATAATGAGAGCATGTTTCTAACTTGGCTATAGTAAATAAATATTGCTATAGTCATATTTAGAAGGCTGCACATCATAATATTAATATACATTCCCTAAGTGGCTGAAGGAGGATTCAGGTTAAGAAGGCAGGATAGAAGGAAGAAGAAGAAAAACAAATAAATGTTGATTTACCAAAAAACTCATCATGTCTCAAGGAATTCTATTACAATTATAAATATATTGCAAAAAAAATGAATATCACTAGATCTCTGTTTACTGTCTTCCAGTGATGTCTATGGAATCTTACCAACAGAAGAAAAAAAGGTGGAGAGTAATATATGGGTTTTGATAATATTTCAGTTGAACATTCCTGTATTTGAAAATACTTATGTGTGTAAAAGGAAAAGGGTTTGAAGGAATATCCACTGCTGTGACTACTGGTTACATGATGATGATGGGAGTGGAAAGGGGACAAGCATGAGTAGCTCTGCCTTTATCCATATTAGTTTCTTATATTTTTTCTTGTTATAGTTGTCGATGAAAGCTCAGTTTAACTATTAAGAAGAAAGGGAATTTTATTTGAACCAGACTGAGGATTATAACCCGGAAGAGAGACTCTCAGAAAGCTCTGAGAAACTGTTCCGCCACGTACAAGTTGAAGGCACAGTCATACACATTTTTGAGACAAAGGATCATACATCAAAATGACATCCTGATATTTTATACAAAGTTCACCAAAGACACATAGTGCAGGTAAGCACCTATAAAGAGAGAGGGAAGTCTGTGATCCCCCGCAGAGTTGGGGAAGAATGCTATCCTTTTAAGAAATTGTATTGCTAATGTCAGAAGAAAGGGGAAAATGTTATCTTTATGGTCAAGCAAACACTACTATCTTCGAGGAAGTTTGTTTAATATGTAATGCAGGTACACACTACACATTAGGGAGGGAGGAAAGAGACCCAAACGGATGCAGAGAGAGAATTTTGTGCTTAATTTTTTCTTATCCTGCCAGGAAATAAGAATTTTATTTCATCACAGCGAAAATCTCTTATGATCTGAACATATCGAATAAAGAAAGTTAAAATTCATAATTTGTTGTTGTTTAGTCGCTAAGTTGTGTCCAACTCTTTTGCAACCTCACGGAGTGTAGCCCAGCAAGGCTTTTCAGTCCATGGGATTT